CATACTTGAGTAGTAGAAGAGGTAGATGGCTCAGAAGAAGTAGATGCTCTTGAAGACTCTTCATTTGCTTCTTTGGCCATCAAGCAAAAATAGGTTGTATCTTCCTCATCAGAGGATGATTCATCGGATGAATCAGCCCAATCATGTTCTTCAACGATAAGACCTTTTGCATTTCGCTGGTTGTTCTTCACCTTCCTGTACTTCTCCTTTAGTTTTAAGTACTTTTCATCCTTGGTCCTGAAGGAGGATAGGGTTTCGGAAGATGGCGTCGCAGCTTTCTTTGATCTGCATTCACCTACAAAATGTCTAGGGCGGTGACAATTGTAGCAGACTGCTGAGGCCTTGTCTGTTCTTTCAGACTTTGGCTTTCCCATAATGGTCAGCAAGGGAGATTTGCGGTAGTTGCTTTTGCTGGCGAATCTCCTAAAAGATTTAGTTAAAAGCGCCAGGGATCATCAAAATCTTCTAGATCATATTCTGGAATATCCTCAGAGTTAGAAGAGTCTATCTCTTTAATAACAACAGGAGGAAGAGAAGAAGTAAAAGGGGGTAGAAGGGGTTTTAGCTGAAGTAGCTTCAGAGATCAAAGCTAAAGGAGAGCTTTTCATTTATCTGGAATCTTTGACTAGATTCCTCTTCAGTTGACGAGATTGCTCATGATTAAGATACATGGAAAAGGTGTTCCAGGAAGACATTCCAGAAACTTAGTTAAAGTTTCAGAGTTGGAATATTCTCTGCCTACAACTCTTAGATCAATAAGGAGACAATTAAAACGTTGATGTACTTCAGACAACGTTTCAGTCTTTCCACAGAGAAAACTTTCGTACTGCCTTACTAAATTGATCTTTCTAGTTTCTTGAACCTGAGTGGTTCCTTCATATTGAACACAAAGTGTGTCCCACGTGGATTTAGAAGTCTTGAGCTTTATCACAGAGTGATAAATCTCTCCAGGAAGAGACATAACTATTATAGACCTAGCGCGAGTGTTTATAGCTATTTTCTTCTTGTCTTCATCACTCCACTGATGAGGGAGCTTTGGAATCTACCGTTCAAGAATCGCGACAGTTGTAGCTGTTGTTGGAACAGCCGGAGAAATAGCAAATGGTACATATGGTCCATTTTATATATAATGTAGAATTTCAGGATCCACACCTTCTAGAAAGAGGGATATCCGGTTTTTCCATAGACTGAAGTTGTCACGGACGAACTGGGGAGGTTTGACAAGAGAGTCATTGTCTTTTGTGTGTACGTTTATGATTTGCAAAACCATTTGAAAGCAGTAAAGTTATCTAGAGAAGAAGATAAAATAATGCAGAAAAACAACTAAACGACTTAGAAAAGATAGAACACTGCTCTTATACCATTTGTTAGTCCTTTGAGGGTCTACAAGATATGCATAACAATTTGTAGAAGGGAGGGGGGATGAATATAAACACAATATTTTCAAATTTAAAATGTATATTGATAAGAGAAGATCAATACAAATTTTTAAAAGACTGTTTGCGGAAAGATAAGGTAAGAAAACCTATCTAAACAATCTTTGGATACACACCGAATCTTAGGAAATGAGAAAAGAAATATTGTAAAGAAAAGTTCCTTTACTTAAGCTCTAGAATGCTTAAAGTAAGAATTGGTTAAGAGAATGTGTTGCACGCGCACTCTGCATGGAGAAAAAACACTTCTATTTATAACCAATGCATTACATGTTCATTTAATGCAATATGGTAGGGTTAGAGTGTGTGTCAAGCCTTAAGAGGAGGGTTGTCCTTTGCTACAATGAATAGTACAAAAACCCTATTAATGAGCGGACATCCTTATCTAAAGTTAGTGGATAATAGAGTCAACTAGTCAGCTCTGTACCGTACTAACATTTAGAAAGGGTATGGATTTGTCCTTTGTGTGCATGAAGACAAGGCAACAACAATCATGTTTAGCAAGCTTCCTTTGATCGCTGAATGCTGGAACAACCAGGAGGTCTCTTCAATATTCGTTGAGGCTTGAGCAGTCTTCACACATATGTAGACAGGCTTGTAATCACTGAGTATTACTTCAGATCACGTACTCGCCAGTCTCTAATCTTCAGTTTCAATCTTCAACTTTGGCTGAAGGTTATTTGGTGTGAGTGTTGTCTTCTTGAAGTATCGCTGTCTCTGATTGAATTACAATACAAGTTCTTCAGCGATCACTGAACAGGTTCAGTGATGATCGCTGGAACTGAAAAGACAGAAACATAAATATAACGTATAAGTGAAAAAAGATTATCATCAAATCACTGAGAGAGAGGACTAACATACATGTATTGTGTATGAGCATGTGGTGTGTATTGGGCTCAACTAAGATCCATTAAACCCAAATAAGACTTTTTTAATAGTTTTTTAAGACTAATAATAACAATGACATCGGATATTATGTTTGTATATAGGTATCTATTGCATACATGTATGTGTGTAGACCCGATAAGAGAATTATTATCCATTATACATTCCATGTGGAGTATGTGTAATATTTTACATATATATAAAACCAAATGTATGAAAACGAAAAAAAATAAAAAATCTGCTGGAACCCCGCTGGAAATATGCTGCGGAAATCCGCCGAAAATCAATAATTATTTTAAAAATCTTGAAGCATTTATTATTTTAAATTACAGGCGGATTACCAGCGGCCACTGACATCCGCCGGTAAATTAAAATAATAAATTTTAATTCTTAACTATTTTCTAGCAGATTACCGGTAGACGTTGATCTTAAACAATTAATAAAAAATCCACTGGAAATCCGCCGGTAGCTTATTGTAATTAGAATTAATAATGTCATAAAATTTTTATTTGTATAATATGTCGGAAATCCGCCGTAAATAGTGTTGGAATATAAATTACGACGTATTTCCCAGAAATCCGCCAGTAATTTTCCGACGGATTTTTCCACCAAAAATTACGTCAAAAATACCCAGTTTTATAGTAGTGAATTAATGACTCCAAATCATCTGAACCATTTTTTATGTAAGGTTAAACTAAACCATTCATAGCCTCATTCTTTCTGATTTACCCTTTGCTCGTTTTCTCTATCAAACCCACTTTCTCCCTGCCTTCTTTTTTTACCGCCCCAACTTGCTACTTATCCTTCACTCTATGTTTACTTTGTTTATCAAATGCCCAACCCCATAACCATAATACAGACAAAGATGGATTCATTTGTTAATCTAATATATAATGTTAATTTTGTGAACCAATTTTATACATTGATTTTTAAAATTTGTGGCTGAGATCATTCATGATATAAAATCTAAATAATTACACACATAGACAAGGTAACATAAGAGAAAAATGTTTACAAAATGGTATTTTGGAAAAAGATTTTAGTTGCCCATTAATGACAATGAGATGTTTTGTAACTGCCCATTAATGACAGTGAGATGTTTTGTAACTGCCCATTAATGACAGTGAGATTTTTGTAACTGCACATTAATAACAATATAACTATGCAGATATACTCTCGTCATCGAATTGAAACCGACAGCAAAATCCCTGACATCAAATTCTTCTACAACTTTTTTTAGTTAATGGTTCATGTGTGAACATGTATTTGATATTTATGAGAATTGTTCATGTGTGAACATGGGTGTATATAGAAAAAAATCGTAAAGATGTTTGTAGCATCGATGTTTTATTTTAGTAAGCACAAACACTATATAGTCTCGTTCATATATGAAATAAATGTGAAATGATATCTGGTTCACCTATGAACAAACATCAAATTGTGCTTATGAACAATGTTCATGTGTTTACTTCTGAACATTATTCAATTTTTTTTGAATAATTGGTAATTTGTACATACCTAGTTTTTGTTATGTGAATGTGGTTATCAAGTTCATATACGAACACAATACTTTTTAAAATGTTGAAACAAGATGGTTCACCTATGAACAAGTATTTACCCATGTATAAATAAGAAATGTAATCGATAGTTAATTTACTTGGAATAATTAAGAAATGTAACCGAAACTTAATTTGCATGAGATATTCACAATAGCAAGACATTGAATAATTAAGAAATGTAACCTAAAATTAATTTGTATTAAAAGAAAGATCGAATAAAAAATTATATTTTTATTCTCATTTATCATGTGCATCAACCAAAAGTGAGATCTTACCCCCTCTCTCTTTATGTAATATATATATATATATATATATAATCATTCATAAACTAAATCAAATTTAATTCGGTCAATGGCTACCTTTATCCGATGAATCTTGTTCAACTTCCGATTGCAGCAACACCGGAAGTAATCCCCAAAAATTTCTTCTACTTTTCTCTAGTACTAAATCCCTAGAACAAAGGGTTGTTCATTAGGTTTTCTGCAAAAAGTTTTTCTACTTGAAGTTTTGCTTCATTAGGTTTCTAGGTATATCAAGATTTGTAGGGTTTCAATTGAAGTTGTGTTGTGAAGTTCATGTTGTATTAAAGCTTTGTTTTTATTTTTTGGGTATATTAAAATTTGTAGGGTTTCAATCATACATTTGTTTTTACTTTTCTTGAACTTAAAGTTGTTATGTGAAGTTCTGAGATATAGCAGGGTGAAGTTGTTAGGCGTTTTTAATCTTGCATTTGGCTTAAAAGTGATGGTTGATTTCTAGAATTAAAAAGAAAACCCATTGTAACCTTTTTTGTTCGAACTCGTCCGATCTGTCCATTTATCAAAGTAGCTACTAGTATATGAAATATGAAATATTCGCACCTAAACCTATACAAAATTAAGGTGATGTCATCAGCTAAGCGCATATATATACTAATAATAATAACAATCTTTTAATTAATTAATTTTATATATATATATATATATATATATGCAATGTTACAGTTGAACATAACCATAATCACTAATCCACTTCAATTCTTCTACCAACTCTTGTAACTTCATACATAATAAAAACATTATGGACATGCAAGAAACTGAATCAAACTGCAACACGTTCATATCAAACACCATGGTACATCAAGAAACCACCGAAAGCCCTTCAATGAAACGAATCAAACAAACAATTTCGATCCCGTTTCTATGGGAAGAAAAGCCAGGAATACCAAAAATAGATTGGAAACGCGTTAATCCCGTTATGAAAATGCCCATTAAGTTGATCGCTTCGGTTCCATTTCAGTGGGAAGAAAAGCCGGGAACACCACTTCCTGGCCGTCCTTTCTCCCATCCGTCACCGGAGCCACCACATCAGCAGCAACAACACAACACAAGAAACAATCCGTTTTGTGATTCTGATTGTGATGATCTTGATCAAGTTTTGGATTCTCTGAAGCATCAGAAACTCCATAAAAAGAACCCTTTTTGCGATTCTTCTGATGATGAACTTGATGAAATTGAAGAACTTGAGAATGGTGGAAAGGCAGAATCCGAAAGTGATGATAACAGTAGCTACCTTCAAGCCCCATCATCGCCAGCTTGGGAAACTGAGAGTAATGCAAGCAGCTATGCAACGACTGGTACAACAACAATCCTAGCTGGGTCATCGTTCTTGGAATGCATGTTCCCACTGTTGACCCCACAATCTAGTTTCTTTGAAACCGTTGGAGGTTCAGTAATTAGGGTTCCACCAATTACGAACACTTGTATTCGGACTGTAAGCAGCAATGGTCCAGGGAGAAAGCCATTAACACTTGGCGAGCTGATTCTGATGAGCCGAAGAAGAAGCTATCTCAAGAAAGCAGTCGAATCACATGAACACAATCACTCGACGGTAATCATGCATCCTGGTTCTACTAGATTAATTTTAACTTATAAACACATTAAATCATATTTATAACTAACTAACAATGGTGTTCTTCAAGAATTGTAATCTTGGAATATATTTTGAATTTGGTGGCAGGAATTGGTGATGAGGAATGCATTTGGATGCTGTATTGATGTTGGAGGATTGAACAAATTGAAGAGGCAGCTGCAGTTGCAGCTAAAACTCGTGTAGGAGTACCACACCACCACTTTGCTGCAATACATGATTCGTCTGCTATGATCTGAAACAACGACTGAACCAAATAGTTTAATTTCTGCTTCTTTTTGATGTTTTTCTTCAAAGAAATATCATGTGGTCTTGGGTTTTATGATTCCATTTTTTTTTTTTGGTATTGGTGATCTTGCAAGACTATCCATAATTTCTATACAGGAAATTATCTAAAAAAAAATACGAATCATGTATTTAAATATTAATTATCGTTTTGTCGAATTTGAATTGAAATTAACGTTTTAAAAATGTATATTTTAGTAATCAAGTGACAAGTATGACGAAAACCAAGTATTAATTAAATATGGTTTTTTTTTTAATTTCATTTTGGTATATGGGAATGTGAAATCTCAAACTTATAAATATCTGTTTATCTATATTCCAGGTAACTAAAAATGACATGTAACAAGTAAACTAAAAATGACATGGAAAAAAATTGACGTGTAACTTAACGACATGGAAAATATAAAACACATTATTCTATTAAAAATTAGTTTCTCAATAATAGGAATGTCAATCGGCCCCTAAATTCCAATTTGGCGCCAAACTGTTCTTTCTTCAATCGGCTTCTTCAGTCGGTGCTTTCTTCTTGCAAATCATCCCTCGTTCGTTGTCACTTATCTTCTACATCAATGTTATCGTGGTGTTAGGTATTTTTGAATTCCTCCTAAAGGAAGGATGGTAACTCAAGTTGAATAATTCTCAAATATCTTAAAGATTGGAGTCCTCGTATTTATTCTTCACCAACTCGATGTTTATGTGGTTTCAGAGCTTTCTTAAAATTTCTCTTTTTTGTGTTTTTAGGATTTGAATATGCTATATCATATTGCAATGAGTATCAGGTTGGTCCTAAACTCATCACCATTTAGTTCTTTACTTTGGAACTACCGCATTAGAAATTTAGATAACGATGAAGCAACCTCAAAATCATTTACGGCTATCCTTGATATGAAATTTAGATAACCCATCTGTGTTTGGTTTGATTTATTACCCATGGGTGTTTTTTTTCTTGATTTGTGGTCAGTGATCCAAAACTTACTAAAAGCTACAACTTGATGGAGGTTTTCTATGTTAGGGATGAAACAACCAAATCACGTAACAACGTGTATATATCGAATCAAAACAGAAAACTACAATATTCGAATTCAATTTTCACCCGAAAAACTTAAATGACTTGTAATCGTAAATCTTACTTTTAGTCGTAGATTCGTCATTCCGAATATCGTTCCTGAAATCCGATTGAGGCCCGCATTTAACGCAGTGTCCTAGGACAAAAATTGCACCGGTGAGGATTTTCGTATGTGTTCATTGATCAAAAAACGCAGGCACTTAAGGGTATTTATACCCTTCTCTTAAAACTGCCAAGATTGCCCGTCAAGGGTGACACTTGTCTCGTAACATTCCAGTGCTCAGCGCGAGCCACCCCGTGGGTTAGGCCCTGTCTATCAACACCTCTCGAGAATCTTTTTATCAACCAAGAGACCCAGGGCCTAAGGCCCTAATCTTGACATTTTAATATATTATATATATCAAGAGGAGCCCACCAAGAACACCACACACCATGCCCAAGCAATTAAATTATTCAATTAATGCTCAAGGGTCGGGATTTATTAGGTGCACTTTATTTTGTTTTGTCTCCTATGTGGGACAACATTCTCCTACACTATACTAAGTTCCAACAATACCCTACATTTTCTATTCAAACTCCAATAATACTCCACATTTGAATAGAAAATAAGCAATACTTATTGGGACTTAGTTTTCCATCACCAAGCTAGTTATAACATGCATCGGAAAAAGTGTCTTTTGGACTTGAACCGTTCCTAGTGAATGCCTATCGGATCTACTTCGTGGATAGTGAACAGAGGTCTTGAACTAGCCACTTTTTGTAGTAAATCAAGACAATAGGCATCACATATGTTATATCTATACATAATTTAATTCTTATCACCGTGTTCATTTTAGTCGTGAACATATCCTATCATCATGAGAGTTTTAGAAGATGTAGCCATATCCGTCTTCAAGGATGCGATCCCACATCAGTCTCACACAGGTAATGCCGATCTCGAATATTCCGTAGTATTCTACTAAAGTAGCTATCAGCATTATTAAGAATATAGTATTCAACCCTATATTATCAACGCAAAATACAAAGGAAACATCATCGGAATAGGCATACCTTTGTTTGATTATCACTTGAGTTGTTCCCGACTTGTTTTTTCTATAGAACCTAGACCATGGGATCTCCAATTCCGCTAGGTTAGGTTGCCTCCGAGGAGATCTCTTTGTGTTGGCTTTAAGCCCATTCCCCTCGATGTGTAGGATACTTGCTCTCTACTTAGTCCTTTTGTCAAAGGATCGACAATATTCTCCTTTGAATTTACGTAGTCAATGGAAATGATTCCATTTTTAGCAAGTGCTTTATCGTGTTGTGGCGCCTTCGTATGTGTCGGGACTTTCCATTGTATATCTGATTCTTCGCTCTAGTGAGAGAGGTCATACTATCACAATGGATACTAATGGCAGTCACCGGTTTAGGCCACTACAGAATACCTTCAAAGAAGCTTTTAAGCCATTCGACTTCTTCAGCAGCTTTGTCTAAAGCGACAAATTCGGCTTCCATAGTTGGTCTGGTATTCATGATTTGTTTAGACGATTTCCATGATGTCGTTGCACCACCAAGTGTGAATACATATCCACTTGTGGATTTACTTTCGGAATGGTTGGAAATCCAGTTAGCATCATGATACCCTTCTATAACGAGAGAGTATTTCGTATAGTATAACCCATAACTCATTATGTATTTCAAGTATCAAAGCACCCTTACTATTGCATAGCAATGGTCTTTTCCTGGGTTATGTGAGTATCGACTAAGTCTACTCACACTATATGCTACATTCAGTCGTGTGTAGTTCATTATATACATCAAGCTTCCAAGAACTTGAGTATATTCCAACTGAGCCACACTATCTCCGAGATTCTTCTTCAATTGGCTTGAAGGATCAAACATAGTGACAACCGGTTTGTCATCATAATGACCAAACTTTTGAAGCACCTTCTCAACATAGTGAGATTGGCTAAGAATGTAACCACATGGATTTCTTTGAATCTTTACACATCTGCTATTCCCATATCCTTCATGTCAAATGCAGAATGCAACATCTTCTTGGTCTGGTTTATTACATCTAAGTTTGATCCCATAATAAGCATATCATCCACATATAAGCATATGATGATATAGGCACTTTTGTATTGTTTCACATATACACATTTATCGCATTCATTTATGTGAAACCCATTTGACAACATGTTGTTATCAAATTTCTCATGCCACTGCTTTGGCGCTTGTTTAAGTCCGTATAGAGACTTTATTAACTTACAAACTTTGTTCTCTTGGCCTTTTACAACAAAACCTTCCGATTGTTGCATATATATCTCTTCTTCGCGTTCACCTTTCAAGAAA